TCTTCTGGTGTTGGTGATGTTTGTCTTCTGGTGTTGGTGATGTTTGTCTTCTGGTGTTGGTGATGTTTGTCTTCTGGTGTTGGTGATGTTTATCTTCTGGTGTTGGTGATGTTTATCTTCTGGTGTTGGTGATGTTTATCTTCTGGTGTTGGTGATGTTTATCTTCTGGTGTTGGTGATGTTTGTCTTCTGGTGTTGGTGATGTTTGTCTTCTGGTGTTGGTGATGTTTGTCTTCTGGTGTTGGTGATGTTTGTCTTCTGGTGTTGGTGATGTTTGTCTTCTGGTGTTGGTGATGTTTGTCTTCTGGTGTTGGTGATGTTTGTCTTCTGGTGTTGTTATGTTTGTCTTCTGGTGTTGGTGATGTTTGTCTTCTGGTGTTGGTGATGTTTGTCTTCTGGTGTTGGTGATGTTTGTCTTCTGGTGTTGGTGATGTTTGTCTTCTGGTGTTGGTGATGTTTGTCTTCTGGTGTTGGTGATGTTTGTCTTCTGGTGTTGGTGATGTTTGTCTTCTGGTGTTGGTGATGTTTGTCTTCTGGTGGTGATGTTTGTCTTCTGGTGTTGGTGATGTTTGTCTTCTGGTGTGGTGATGTTTGTCTTCTGGTGTTGTGTGATGTTTGTCTTCTGGTGTTGGTGATGTTTGTCTTCTGGTGTTGGTGATGTTTGTCTTCTGGTGTTGGTGATGTTTGTCTTCTGGTGTTGGTGATGTTTGTCTTCTGGTGTTGATGTTTGTCTTCTGGTGTTGGTGATGTTTGTCTTCTGGTGTTGGTGTTTGTCTTCTGGTGTTGGTGATGTTTGTCTTCTGGTGTTGGTGATGTTTGTCTTCTGGTGTTGGTGATGTTTGTCTTCTGGTGTTGGTGATGTTTGTCTTCTGGTGTTGGTGATGTTTGTCTTCTGGTGTTGGTGATGTTTGTCTTCTGGTGTTGGTGATGTTTGTCTTCTGGTGTTGGTGATGTTTGTCTTCTGGTGTTGGTGATGTTTGTCTTCTGGTGTTGGTGATGTTTGTCTTCTGGTGTTGGTGATGTTTGTCTTCTGGTGTTGGTGATGTTTGTCTTCTGGTGTTGGTGATGTTTGTCTTCTGGTGTTGGTGATGTTTGTCTTCTGGTGTTGGTGATGTTTGTCTTCTGGTGTTGGTGATGTTTGTCTTCTGGTGTTGGTGATGTTTGTCTTCTGGTGTTGGTGATGTTTGTCTTCTGGTGTTGGTGATGTTTGTCTTCTGGTGTTGGTGATGTTTGTCTTCTGGTGTTGGTGATGTTTGTCTTCTGGTGTTGGTGATGTTTGTCTTCTGGTGGTGATGTTTGTCTTCTGGTGTTGGTGATGTTTGTCTTCTGGTGTTGGTGATGTTTGTCTTCTGGTGTTGGTGATGTTTGTCTTCTGGTGTTGGTGATGTTTGTCTTCTGGTGTTGTTATGTTTGTCTTCTGGTGTTGGTGATGTTTGTCTTCTGGTGTTGGTGATGTTTGTCTTCTGGTGTTGTTATGTTTGTCTTCTGGTGTTGGTGATGTTTGTCTTCTGGTGTTGGTGATGTTTGTTCTTCTGGTGTTGGTGATGTTTGTCTTCTGGTGTTGGTGATGTTTGTCTTCTGGTGGTATGTTTGTCTTCTGGTGTTGGTGATGTTTGTCTTCTGGTGTTGGTGATGTTTGTCTTCTGGTGTTGGTGATGTTTGTCTTCTGGTGTTGGTGATGTTTGTATTCTGGTGTTGGTGATGTTTGTACCTTCAATGGCGGACGGTGGAGGATAAGTTTAGGTTAGGTTAGTTTAAGTCAAGTTATGTCAGGTCATGCTAAGTTAGGTTAGGTCAAATTTGGGTCAGGTCATTTTTGATTAAGTTAGGTCAAGGTAGGTCAGGTCATGCTAGGTTAGGTTAGGTCAAATTTGGGTCAGGTCATTTTTGATTAGTTGTTAGGTCAAGGTAGGTCAGGTCAGGCTAGGTTAGGTTAGGTTAGAATAGGCTAAGTTAAGTTATGTTAAGCTAGACTTAGTTTGGGACTCACACTAAGGTACGATCTTTGGCGGACGGTGGTGAAGGTTGAACAGGTAACGAAGGAAAGTGTTTTAGAAAGTTGGTGACTCTTAGAGAAGTTTAAAAGAGACGTACAATATTTTGGTGGTGTTTATGAGGGCCCTCGCCATCTTGGGTTGGGGATAATGTGGTGTTTACCCTTTTTTCCGACCGTGTTTGTGTGAGTCAGTCCATCTATTGTTGTTTTGCGTCCGACCGTGTTTGTGTGCGTCAGTCCATCTATTGTTGTTTGCGTCCACCGTGTTTGTGTGCGTCAGTCCATCTATTGTTGTTTGCGTCCGACCGTGTTTGTGTGCGTCAGTCCATCCGTTGTTGTTGTTGTTGTTGTTTTGTCCGACCGTGTTTGTGTGCGTCAGTCCATCCGTTGTTGTTGTTTTGCGTCCGACCGTCTTTGTGTGCGTCAGTCCATCTATTGTTGTTTGCGTCGACCGTCTTTGTGTGCGTCAGTCCATCCGTTGTTGTTGTTTTGCGTCCGACCGTGTTTGTGTGCGTCAGTCCATCCGTTGTTGTTGTTGTTTGCGTCCGACCGTGTTTGTGTGCGTCAGTCCATCCGTTGTTGTTGTTTTGCGCCCGACGTGTTTGCGTGCGTCAGTCCATCCGTTGTTGTTGTTTTGGCCGACCGTGTTTGTGTGCGTCAGTCCATCCGTTGTTGTTGTTGTTTGCGTCCGACCGTGTTTGTGGTCAGTCCGTCCGTTGTTGTTGTTTGCGTCCGACCGTGTTTGTGTGCGTCAGTCCATCCGTTGTTGTTGTTTGCGTCTGACCGTGTTTGTGTGCGTCAGTCCATCTATTGTTGTTTTGCGTCCGACCGTGTTTGTGTGCGTCAGTCCATCCGTTGTTGTTGTTGTTGTTGTTTTGCGTCCGACCGTGTTTGTGTGCGTCAGTCCATCCGTTGTTGTTGTTGTTGTTTTGCGTCCGACCGTGTTTGTGTGTCGTCCATCTATTGTTGTTTGCGTCCGACCGTGTTTGTGTGCGTCAGTCCATCCGTTGTTGTTGTTTTGCGTCCGACCGTGTTTGTGTGCGTCAGTCCATCCGTTGTTGTTGTTGTTTTGCGTCCGACCGTGTTTGTGTGCGTCAGTCTCTCCATTGTTGTTTTGCATCCGACCGTGTTGCGTGCGTCAGTCCATCCGTTGTTGTTGTTTTGCGTCCGACCGTGTTTGTGTGCGTCAGTCTCTCCATTGTTGTTGTTGTTAAGTATTTTATGTTTATGTTGTAGCTTGTACGAGTTGTCCTCCTCACAGTGTGGAATGTTGTAGGTTATTATGTTGTGAGTAATGGTTATAGGGTGTTGTAGGATGTTGTTAATGAGGGTTGTAGTGTGTTGTTAATGAGGGTTGTAGGATGTTGTGAGTAATGGTTATAGGATGTTGTAGGATGTTGTTAATGAGGGTTGTAGGATGTTGTGAGTAATGGTTATAGGATGTTGTTTATGAGGGTTGTAGGATGTTGTTAGTAATGGTTATAGGATGTTGTAGGATGTTGTTAATGAGGGTTGTAGGATGTTGTGAGTAATGGTTATAGAATGTTGTAGGATGTTGTTTATGAGGGTTGTAGGTTATTTAGTTGTGAGTAATGGTTATAGGATGTTGTAGGATGTTGTTTATGAGGGTTGTAGGATGTTGTGAGTAATGGTTATAGGATGTTGTAGGATGTTGTTTATGAGGGTTGTAGGATGTTGTGGTAATGGTTATAGGATGTTGTTTATGAGGGTTGTAGGATGTTGTGAGTAATGGTTATAGGATGTTGTTTATGAGGTTGTAGGATGTTGGAGTAATGGTTATAGGATGTTGTAGGATGTTGTTTAGAGGGTTGTAGGATGTTGTTTATGGGGTTGTGGATGTTGTGAGTAATGGTTATAGGATGTTGTTTATGAGGGTTGTAGGATGTTGTGAGTAATGGTTATAAGATGTTGTAGGGTGTTAGGGTGTGTGTTGTTTATGAGGGTTGTAGGATGTTGTGAGTAATGGTTATAGGATGTTGTAGGGTGTTGTTAATGAGGGTTGTAGGATGTTGTGAGTAATGGTTATAGGATGTTGTAGGATGTTGTTTGTGGGGTTGTAGGATGTTGTGAGTAATGGTTATAGGATGTTGTAGGATGTTGTTAATGAGGGTTGTAGGATGTTTTTAGTGATGGTTATAGGATGTTGTAAAGGTTATGAGGGTTGTAGGATGTTGTTAGTGAAGGTTATAGGATGTTGTTAATGAGGGTTGTAAAACGTTGAGTGAAGGTTGTTGGATGTTTTGGTAGTCTTCAAGGGGTTGTAATTAGTTATTTTGTTCATTAAAGGTTGTAGAAACTTGGTGAGTCATTTTAAGTGGTTGTAGGAGGTTATTATTTATGTCCTTAAAGGTTATAGGAACCTATCTGACAACCCTTTAGGTACAATAACTTATCTGGTAACCCTTTTAAGGTACAATGACTTATTTGGGACAACCCTTTAAGGTACAGAACGTATGTGGCAATCCTTTAAGGCACATGAACGTAGCTTATTTTTTTTTTTACGCGCGGCGGCTGGTAAAATGATCGTCCGAGTGCAGATGTGGGAGGTGGTGGCCATTGCTCGGTTGTTTGTAGCGGGTGTTAAGAGCTGGGCAGCGAGGGAGGTAGTGGCAGTAGATTACCCCCGTGAGGTAAGAGGCCCAATTGAAACCTTGTTTATGTTGTACCCAATTGTCTGTGTGGAGAGGGGTGGGGGAGACGGGGTGCTGAAAGAAGAAGAGAGGTGGTGGAGAAAGATGAGGAAGAGAAGGTGGAGGACAAGAAGGATTAGGAAGTGAAGAGGAAGTGGAAGAGAAGGTGGGGATGGAGGAGAATAAGAAGGAAGTGGAGGGGTAGAAGCAGGGAGGAAGTAGAGGATGGATGGTTCCTACACTACACACGTATATTGATCTTGTTCATCGCTGACCAATAGTGAACATGTTCTCTTGTTCTTCACTACACAACAACAGAGGCGTAACCCATGTAGTTCAATCACTGTTCTTTAGATGTCGCTGTATACTAAGCTTTCGGTACACAATGAGGCACTGGGGTTGGCACAAGGAGGCACTGGGGTTGGCACAAGGAGGCACTGGGGTTGGCACAAGGAGGCACTGGGGTTGGCACAAGGCGCACTGAGGTTGGCACAAGGAGGCACTGGGGTTGGCACAAGGAGGCACTGGGGTTGGTACAAGGAGGCACTGGGGTTGGAACAAGGAGGCACTGGGGTTGGAACAAGGAGGCACTGGGGTTGGAACAAGGAGGCACTGGGGTTGGAACAAGGAGGCACTGGGGTTGGCACAAGGAGGTACTGGGGTTGGCACAAGGAGGCACTGGGGTTGGCACAAGGCGGCACTGAGGTTGGCACGGAGGCACTGGGGTTGGCACAAGGGGCACTGGGGTTGGCACAAGGAGGCACTGGGGTTGGCACAAGGCGGCACTGGGGTTGGCACAAGGAGGCACTAGGGTTGGCACAAGGTGGAACTGGGGTTGGCACAAGGTGGAACTGGGTTGGCACAAGAAGGCACTGGGGTTGGCACAAGGAGGCACTGGGTTGGCACAAGGCGGCACTGGGGTTGGCACAAGGGGCGGGTTGGCACAAGGCGGCACTGAGGTTGGCACAAGGAGGCACTGGGGTTGGCACAAGGAGGCACTGGGGTTGGTATAAGGAGGCACTGGGGTTGGGAGGCACTGGGGTTGGCACAAGGGTGCACTGGGTGGCACAAGGAGGCACTGGGGTGGCACAGGAGGCACTGGGGTTGGCACAAGGAGGCACTGGGGTTGGTATAAGGAGGCACTGGGGTTGGCACAAGGCGGCACTGGGGTTCTGGGGAGGCACTGGGGTTGGCACAAGGCGGCACTGAGATTGGCACAAGGAGGCACTGGGGTTGGCACAATGAGGCACTGGGGTTGCACAAGGCGGCACTGGGGTTGGCACAAGGAGGCACTGGGGTTGGCACAAGGAGGCACTGGGGTTGGCACAAGGAGGCACTGGGGTTGGAACAAGGCACTGGGGTTGAACAAGGAGGCACTGGGGTTGGAACAAGGAGGCACTGGGGTTGGAACAAGGAGGCACTGGGGTTGGAACAAGGAGGCACTGGGGTTGCAGGAGGTACTGGGGTTGGCACAAGGAGGCACTGGGTTGGCAAAGGCACTGAGGTTGGCACAAGGAGGCACTGGGGTGGGGCACTGGTTGGCAAGGCCTGGTTCAAGGGGCACTGGGGTTGGCACAAGGAGGCACTAGGGTTGCACAAGGAACTGGGTTGGCCAAGGTGGAACTGGGGTTGGCACAAGGCACTGGGGTTGGCACAAGGAGGCACTGTGGCACAAGGCGGCATGGGTTGGCACGGAGGCACTGGGGTTGGCACAAGGCGGCACTGAGGTTGGCACAAGGAGCACTGGGGTTGGCACAAGGAGGCACTGGGGTTGGTATAAGGAGGCACTGGGGTTGGCACAAGGAGGCACTGGGGTTGCACTAGGGTGCACTGGGGTTGGCACAAGGAGGCACTGGGGTTGGCACAAGGAGGCACTGGGGTTGGCACAAGGAGGCACTGGGGTTGGCACAAGGAGGCACTGGGGTTGGCACAGAGTAAGAGGCACTGGGGTTACAAGGAGGCACTGGGGTTGGCACAAGGCACTGGGGTTGGCAAAGGAGGCACTGGGTTGGCACAAGGAGGCACTGGGGTTGGCACAAGAGCACTGGGGTTGGCACAAGGAGGCACTGGTTGGCACAATGGGCACTGAGGTTGGCACAATGAGGCACTGGGGTTGGCACAAGGAGGCACTGGGGTTGGCACAAGGGGCACTGAGGTTGGCACAAGGAGGATGGTTGGCAGGGCTGGGGTTGGAAAGAGCACTGGGTTGAAAGGAGGCACTGGGGTTGGCACAAGGAGGCACTGGTGTTGGCACAAGGAGGCACTGGGGTTGGCACAAGGAAGCACTGAGGTTGGTATGAGGAAGCATCATATAAGTACGAGTTGCTATAATAATGATAAAAAATTATAATACCGATAATAAAACTGATACTAACAACAATAATAATAATGATAATAATGTAATAATAATAATAATAATAATGATAATAATATAATAATAATATGTAATAATAATAATAATAATAATAATAGCGTGACTTAGAATTTAGGGTGGTAGAAAAGTTAAGCTAACCTCGCAGTTTAAGTAATTGTGCTTGAGTAGTGTGTGGTGGTGGTGGTAGGTGGTAGGGGGTTGGTAAGTGGTGGTGGTTGGGGGTTGGGAAGGATTGGTGGCTGGTGGTAGGGGTTGGTAGATTGGTGGTAGTGATGGGGGTTGGCAGATGATGGTAGGAGGCTGGTAGGTGGTGATGGTAGGGATTGATGGTGGTGGTAAATGGTGGTAGTAGGGGTTGGTAGGTGATGGCGTGGTAGGGAGTGGTGGGTAGGTGGTGGTGGTGGTGGTGGTAGGGGTGGTGGGTGATGGTGGTGGTAGATGGTGTGGGAGTGGTGGTAGGTGTGGTGGTGGTAGGTGATGGTGGTGGTAGGGTGGTGGTAGGTGATGGTGGTGGTAGGTGGTGGTGGTAGGTGGTGGTGGTGGTGGTGGGTGATGGTGGTGGGGTGGTGGTAGGTGGTGGTAGTTGTGGTGGTGGTGGTGGGTGATGGGGTGGTAGGGGTGGTGGTGGGTGATGGTGGAGGGGTGGTGGTAGGGGGGTTGGTGGGTGTGGGTGGTGGGGGTGGTGGTAGGTGATGGTGTGGGGTGGTGGTAGGTGGTGGTGATGGTGGTGAGGGAGTGGTGGTAGGTGATGGTGGTGGGTGATGGTGGTGGTAGGTGGGTGGTGATGGTGGTGGTGAGTGGTGGTGGTGAGTGGTGGTGGGGAGTGGTGGTGATGGTGGTAGGTGGTGGTAGGGAGTGGTGGTAGGTGATGGTGGTAGGGAGACACTGTGGAACTCTTTGTGACACGGAATTATGACAACCAACATGACAGTACGGTGCCATTAAGGCTAAGTGGTGACGTCACGCCTTCTCACCCTCCTCGAGGACAACCATTGTCACCCTCCTCGAGGACAACCATTGTCACCATCCTCGAGGACAACCTTTGTCACCGTCTTCGAGGACAACCATTGTCACCATCCTCGAGGACAGCCATTGTCACCATCCTCGAGGACAACCGTTGTCACCATCCTCGGGAAATCCGAGGCCTCCGAGGACAACCATTGTCACCATCCTCGGAAAACCATTGTCACCATCCTCGAGGACAACCGTTGTCACCATCCTCGAGGACAACCATTGTCACCATCCTCGAGGACAACCATTGTCACCATCCTCGAGGACAACCATTGTCACCATCCTCGAGGACAACCGTTGTCACCATCCTCGAGGACAACCTTTGTCACCATCCTCGTGGACAACCTTTGTCACCATCCTCAAGGACAACCATTGTCACCATCCTCGAGGACGATCATCCAGCTATGATACAGTGATATGAGTTATTAAGGATGTCACCTTCGTTGATGAGCTCTGAGGTAACTAGAGAGGCTGATACTGGACCGGCGGGGTCATCCACAGATGTTACACGTTTGGAGGGCTACATCTAGTGCAGGAGAGGCGGCAACAGCGTCTTTCCAGTGCTGACGCTTGTCTACCTCGTTATGCAGTCGGGCTAACTCGAAAGTATTGACACCTTCTCGTGTGGTGCTCCTCCAAGCGTTACGGTGTGGAGTAATCGTCTCCCAGGTGAGGGGGTCGATTTGGCACTTTTTTCAGGTTTGTCTTAAGACTATCCCTATACATTTTCAGTTGCCCACCAGCATTACGTTTACTATTCGTTAGGTGACTGTAAAGTAGCTGCTTTGGCAGTTTACTGTCATCCTTGCGGGTAACTTGGCCAGTCCAGCGTAGTTGTTCATGGGTAATGGTAGCCTCGATGCTCCTACAGTTGGTGTCAGCGGGAATACTGGCATTTGTTCTCTTGTCTTCCCAGCGAACTCGGGGGATGGATCATAGACTACGTTGGTGAAAGTTTCCAAGTGCCTTGAGGTGCCTCCTGTATGTGACCCATGTCTCGCTGCCATACACCAGGGTGGGGAGGATCACTGCTCGATATACGTGCAACTTTGTAGATAATTTCAGCTCCCTACAGTGTGTGTGTGTGTGTGTGCGTGTGTGTGTTCTCTAGCATTTTTCCCTCTTATCTCTCTCTCCCTTCTCATCATCCTTTCATTCTTTCTCATTATCCTCTCGTTTCCTTCCACCTCCTCATTACCCTTTCACCCTCTGTCTCTCTTTCATCCTCTTTATCTTTTGTTTTGTTCTTTGTTTTCTTTCTTAATTTATCTTACTATCTCATCATCCTCACTTTTCTCCTTTTATTCTTCTCACGTATTTCTTTTTTGTTATTTTCTCTCTTTAATTTTCTTTGTTCTTCTTTCGTTTCTCTTTGTCCGCTGTCCCTTCCTTCCTTCCTTCCTTCCTTCCTTCCTTCCTTCTCCCTGCATCTCACGCTTCCCACTTACTTTTAATTCTCTTATCCCTTCTTCTCCCTCCCTGCTTCCTGCTTCCCCCTTCCACCCCTCCCCTCTTGTTTACATTCTTCCTTCCCTTCCCGTCTTGCCTTCCCTGGTGGATGGTAGTGCTGCCCGCCCGCCCACCCGCCCACTTCCGGCTGGCACCCACACCCGCCCAGTAAACTTCCACGCTGGTGACCGCTGGCAAGAGCTTCGTATGATCGACTTGCGTTTCCTCCCGCCCTGCGCCGCGTCCACCCTGCCACCCACCCACCCTGCCACCCACCCTCACCTTGTTTATGTGTCTTTATTCCTCTCTTGTTTCTTCATTTTTGTTTGTTGTATCTTCCTTGTTTACTGTATTTTCTTTTCTCTTTTAACTATCTTGCTTTACTTCATTCTTCCCCCTTTATTCTCTCTCTCTCTCTCTCCTCTGCCTTCATCCTTATTTACTTTACCTGGTCTGTGCTTGACGTCTGGTTTAGTCTGGACAAAAGAGTTTACAGTAGGTAGCGTCCCAACCCAACCCGACCCAACCCAATCTATCCATCACTTGAAATCACCAATAACCTTCTTCTCGTCTTTACAGGTTAGTGCGAGGTGTAGGAGGTGCAGGACAGGTGATCAAGGTGTGTCTCAGGTACCAGGTAAGGTGATCAAGGTGTGTCGCAGGTACCAGGTAAGGTGATCAAGGTGTGTCTCAGGTACCAGGTAAGAGTTAAGTTGGTGTAGCTACAGAGTGACAATTGGAGGTACTTCACCTGTGGCTGCCCAGTACTGTAATTATTGTACCTGACATTATGATCACCTGTAAGTTAGACACCCTAGTTTATTTCACCTGTAGAAAGTTTATTACCCTAGAGCTAACCTAACCTAATGAAATGCAGTAAGTACATTATGGGACCGGGTTGTATATGACATTTAGTGATTCATTCAGATGTGCTATTTAACAGTAGTGTATTATTCTATACACAATCAGTGGATTTTAAAGTATATGTACCGTATATCTGTTACACATATAATACCTTTAGTTTACTCTATATTTAGCATAAGATAAGAACATATTACTGATCTAATCCACCCTCGTGTTTCGATGATATTTATTTTTACATTACGTTGTATTGATAGCATCTACATTAAACATATCCCAGGGCTTGTGGTTAGCTTCTCACATCTGTCTTTTACCAAGTTCCTGTCTTCTACTCTCGACCTAATGGTGTTGTGTGTGTGTGTGTGTGTGTGTGTGTGTGTGTGTGTGTGTGTGTGTGTCTCAACTACGCCCTCCTCACGTTAACTCAGGTCTCCCCTTTAATCTCCTGCCTGTGATTGGGTGATTGGTTCAGTCTAAGGGGGAAGGGGTTTTTGAATGTCTCCTCTTCCTTACGTCTTACTACATGACCAAACACCATCTCAGTCTTGTTGTTTCTTGGATCATATTGCTCATACATGTCACTCATCCTCCTTCATATGTCACTCATCCTTCATACGTCACTCATTCTCCTTCATACATACATGTTACTCCTCCTCTTTCCTTCATACATGTCACTCCTCCTCTTCCTTCTTCCTCCTCCTCCTCCTCCTCCTCCTCTTCCTTCTTCCTCCTCCTCCTCTTCCTTCTTCCTCCTCCTCTTCCTTCTTCCTCCTCCTCTTCCTCTTCCTCCTCCTTCCTCGGCGCCATCGTCCCCGCCCCCTATATATATCCATCAGTCACAACCAATGGATCTCCAACTTCAATTTCCTTGCCATCCTTCCCTCCATCACACTCCCTGCTCCTTCACTCTTTCCCTTCCTTCCTTCCTTCCTTCTAAAGTGAAATTAATGTGTTGGGTGGAGTCTTATAGAGGTGTGTGTGTGTGTGTGTGTGTGTGTGTGTGTGGGGGGGGGAGGGGGGGGTGGGTGGGTGGCAGGTAATACCCAGCTAAATATGGTACTAAATTGGCCCTTAGGCATTATTTAGCTGTCTGTTTAGCTGTCTGTTCGGAGATTCAAAATTAGCGTTACAGATTTTTGAATTGCATAGTTACCGTAAATGGATTTTCTAATAACAACATAAAGGTCTCTAAAACACAACCTTCCCTACGTTGAAATACCCTTACCTGACCTTATCTAACCCAACTCAACCTGACCAGACCGAACTCAACCCAAGACCAGACTCAACCTAAGACCCAGACTCAACTCAACCTGACCAGACTCAACTTAACCTTACCAGACCCAACCTGACCCAACCTGACCTTTATAAAGATATTTCTGAGGATATTAAGGTGTTAAAAATAGTATTTGTTGGATGATCTTCGTGACCTTCGTGTTTAAGTCAGAGCAGCAATTACCTGAGCCTCGTACCTGGTGATCTCTGACTTCTACTCGGAAATATTTACGGCGCTCAGTTGATCGTGTAAACAGAATTTGGTGGAGCTGATGCTGATTTTTCTTCTCTTTCGCTGCCGTCTCTTCCATGGCTGAGATAATTTTACTACTTTCCTCGTG